AATAAATTAAAACCCTTTGACCAGACCAAGAATCTTTATCATTAAACAAGTACATGAACACCATTTTTGTTTAGACTCCTCTTTAGTCTTGTTTCACATTTTTATCATAAATCAATGTCACAACAGGACTACAGGATGAAGGCAAATTACATGTCGTCTTCCAACTATGCAATTTCTAAGGCTTCAACATTAAACCTTCAAATCAGCCAATGTCATATTAGCTGCACATATGTATGCCTCATACGAAGACGTGCATGTTTTGTGATAATGTACAGAAATGCCATGACATTTAAAATATAACATTTTTATCAGCAAAAGTAATTGTCGCAATTATATACATTGAGTGATCAAGTCAGCGTTATTAAATGAACCAATATTACTTGAGAACAAGTGTTCTAAGATGATTGGATTACAAGGTCTGGATTATAGATCTTTACATCTTTTTTTTTTCACCCAAACATTGCTTTAACAAACAATATTTCACGTATACTTGTCTTGACACTGAAATTCAACCTACAAGATCTACTGTTCAGTAAAGACACTAGGCTATTTCTATCAATTAAAGATTTATTTTTCAAAAGACACCGATTTGACATATATAATTCAATAGCAGTTCAATTAAAAATGCTACAATGTTCTCAGAGCATATTGTAACAGAAAACTACTTAAATTTAAACAATTTGATCAAAGGCCACAATAACACAATAATAGAAGAAAAAGGCCGTACAAAAAAAAAACCTTTTTAATCCAATTGCCACTAAATCAAAATTGTAGGTCTTTTTTTTACTCCATAAAATCTGCCTAAACAATCTTTTGGAAATAAACAGAATATATATATGTCTGAATGCAGTTCATAGACTAATATTAACTTCATTTCAAAGTACACCAGAGGCTTTTATCCCCCAGTGGACCATAACCTTAAGTGAGGACAAAAAAAAATGAGGACAATTCACATGAATATTATTCTTTTCTGCTTGTGTTCAAAATATTGAGTCTGCTGGTTGCGTACTTCAAATTACAGTCCACAGCAAGGAACCGAGTAACCACGCAGCTTTTGACAGATTGCAGTAAACTCGTGCCATAATCCATTTTGTTAAAAAAAAAAAAAGGCAACCTACAACAAAACTGAACCCACAATATTTTTTGCAGCAAGAGTAAACCACAACAAGGCAGAAATGCTCTCAATGAAGGCACGTGTGAAGTCAGCTATAAACGGTGGCTGTTATACTTGTTAAGAGGGAGCAGTTTTTTAATGGAGTCAATATTTGTAAAAATCCCTCCATCTGTCACATCTCATGAAGCCTGCATCTGATGTACGTAATGCTGTTGAATCATGCTGTTTAGCAATGAGCAGGTTTTAAATACTTTGATCCTCATCTCCCAGAGTTTTGTACAGCAAAGTTTTTTTTTTTTAATCTAAATGAATAACTTGTCATTAATGTCATTACGTTTATTTTCTGCAAAGGGTGATCGGGAAATTCCATTCCTTCAAAAATAATGGCATGTTTTCACACTGGGCTCCCTAGGCCTCCATTTAACCAAGCACTGACAAGGATGAGCAATTTTTTCTGTGAAGATCACGAAATAAAGAGACTCCTCACTGTGCTTGACACATTTTATTCCTAATTTGCTCATTAGAGACAGATTTTAGTCAATAATCATTCAGTTTATAACTTCAAAGTGCATGTTATGCTTCATTTGCGTAAAAGCTAATGTTTTTGCTCTTAACCCATGGATGGACTAAGACTAAGCTTGAGTGCATTGTGAATACCATAAATATTTCATTCTGCTGCAGTATTTTTGTATTTCAATAATGTTATAATAAAAACAGCAGAGATTCATTAGCTGGGTATATGTGCCATACAATGAGATATTATTGTGACACGGCCAGACCTTAGAATGGTCTTGGCCATGGTACTTTCCTTAAAATTTCAAATTCCTTGTTTTTCTGATATTTCAAGTTTTCAATATTAATTATTTATAAACTTTAAAAAATGTATTCTCGTACACAATTCCAACTAGTTTTCAAAAAACTTTATTCAAAATAGAAGATAATATCAACAAAATATTTTTTTAAAGAAAATCATTAATTTGTGTTGATCATATTTATTAAGTTATTACCATATAAGTCTAGCTAGCCGTCAGTTGTTTAAACATCCGTTTGAAAAGGGTCATTGACCATGACCAAGATGGCTGCAAATTATATTGCCTTAGATTTTCACTGCCTCTGTTTAGAAAATGTCTCACTCAGTAATAAAATAACACAGCAGAATTTTCCTTTTTTTTTTTTACGATTATCAATTTATGAAATGTTAAGTTAAACTCTCCCCAATGAGAGCTGAAATTCTCTCACCAGCATGCACAGTTTCAAAGTTTAGACCACAAACATAATACAAAAGTAAAATATATGCTGTTATCAAATTGGTTTAATATCCAGCAAGTCCTGACATAGGGGAAAAGTAAAGCTATACTACTTTTAGCCTGATTTGCTAAGAAATATGCTATCATAAACTACGAATGCATGTTAGACTCAGCAATCAACTTCAGCACTACTAAGAACATCATAAAAATGGGTGAATGGAGAAATTCAATTCTGTGCGGAGAGACCATTACAGGATTAAGCGATCTTCCTTTCATGTAGGGTCCGCCATATTTGAGCCTTGGACCAGTTGATACTTGGATCTTCTATTCTGAATGGTCCCACTGACACTACTCTTCCCAATTTCAAACTTCATTAAAAGGTGTGGTCCCCCCCCCCCCCCCAATAACTATTCACTAGAGATACACAGTAGGAAAATGGGGCTACCACGCAAAATTAATTTCCAAATCCATTACTTTCAGTACCAGAAGTTATGAAAAGATCACATCATAAACCCTGTTTTGGACACTATTATCATCAGTTAACCATCTCACGGGAAATCACACAATTTACAGTGGACATCTTGGGGTTTGGACATACTCCTATAAAGTGGCAATTTGCAAGAGTTCCATATCAGAACCAACTCCAATCTTTCGACTCTGAGCTTTCATATGTATATTCATTTGAAAGCTCATTACATCATAATGTTAAGGATGATGAGTCTTACTGAAAATTTGAAATATATATATATATGTATGTTTTTTGTTCCTAAGGCTATAACATTTTATACTGGCAACAATTTGTTACATTGTTAAAATAAATTGGATAGTGGGGTTATATAATAAAAGCGTCCTTGTATGGCCAAATCTATATGTTGCTTTATTCATGATCTGTAATGTTGTTTTTCACTGGCTACTTCACCAAAATCTGAAACAGATGTGTAGATTCCCAGTGGATTTAAGATTACATAACTACAATTTTGCAATATGTTCATTGGGATATTATAGTGGCATTATCAATAGTCAAGATAAAACTGAAGCTGAGGAAATGAACACCTCTCGTCCACCTGGCCGTTGTATTCATGCGTATCACCAACGCACATCATGGGTCTCTACTTGTTCTCCATATTACTATTAGACAAGTGATAATCCGTGTGACTGAGCACGACAGCTCCACAGCTTTCTGTTGTCATACAATGCAGTGTTGTATTTAATCAAGGATCCAAGATCCACATTTTAATGTACAGTCTACCTGTACGTGCAGATTCCTATTCTCAATCATATTGATCTGTGTATAGTGAAAGTGTCCAATGATGTCCTATAGTTCATCACTTTGGCGACGAGACCTCAGGTACAAGCATGCCATCATGTAGTTAGTGAGCATATATTTCATATGTGACAGACCCATCATTAGTTGTGAGTAACTTGAACTCGTAAATGAAATACAACAACATAAATGTTTCCTGTCATACTATGTAACCAAGGAGTAAGATCCAAGAAAGTAACATAATATTCAAATGTTTAATATACAATAAAATCACAAAAGGCATTATAATTTAAGACCAGAGAAAAAACTCAAGAATTAAATAATCACCATTAACGTTTGGATTAATTAAATCCACCTAGCCACTGGTCACAATCTACCAATTTTTTTCCACCTTGATCAGCATCTCAGTCGAGGGTGTTACTTTACTTGGCATTTTGGAAATACTTATCAGTTTATTTGTATTTGTTCGTCATAAACCATGTCATAAATAGTCAACAGAAAGAATTTCATGTTGCAACAAGATAAATAATAATAATAATAATAAAGAGCAAAAGAATTCACTGATTAGTCCTAAAAATTTTATAAATCCCTTCACAAATTTCATTATGACTCCACCATCACCATTTCACACTGAATGATCTTAAATTTAGCTGCTGAATTTAGGTGTACATGTATTAAACATGCCAAGTGCATGTCATACTATGCTTCTCAACCACAACAATTTCTTCATTGTGAAACATAAATATTTGCCCATGTTTTTAGGTAAGATAGCATCTAAATCCTCTAACTTGTGAGGACCTCGTCTTCTCTCATTTTACCTAAAGCTCAGCCCCCCCCCCCCCCCGACACACACACACACACACACACACACACACACACACACACACACACACACACATATCAATCAAATTCTTGACTATGACTATGTTCAACTAATTTTTATTTAATTTGTAGTACATATAATTTACTAATCTGATCACGTTTCTAGATTCCAAGTATCCAAAAATTTGGCTGGGATAAAATTTAGTCAGAACATGTTGGTGTACAGCTTAAATGACTACAGACCTGAGGGCAATGAGGGTTCACTTGTTAAATTTCTCCAAATGGCCTTAAATGATTTGACTTCAGATGTAATAAATTATTAAATGCTTTTTTCTTTGTTATTTTGTATTGAGTTTGCCTTGATGCACATTAATGTGATGCATTTTTCCCAAATACCCAAAGCAGAAATCACAAAAGTATGCAGTCTTGCACCATACAAGTTACGGATGATTTTGATTTCCATTTCCATAAACTGTGTCCTATATGTGAAGCTGATCAGGCACCTGTGGATGATACATCAATTAATCATTGTTGAGGGCTGTTTAATACAAACCTTAGGCGACCTTGCATATTTTCCAGTCCTTGTATCCTTTATCATGGAAATTTCCAAGCAATCCATTTCCTGGAAAACAAATATATGGAATACAGTGTCAGGTATTTTCTCCAGTAATTAATGAGCAACTGTTTCTCTCAGAAGCCATACATATATATCTGCTGAATTTTGAAACTGGATTGGTAACCTGTTTTTAAAACAACTAAGTATATGATATTTAAAAACAATTAACACTTTCTGCAAATTTACTCAATTTCTTTCTTTTTGTTAACTTTTTGTTAATTGATACAGATAATGCTGTACTGTTTCCTGTAAAGCATTATAAATTTTATTTTTCTGTTCATTTCTGTACACATTTAAATAGCATCACTGATTTTTGCTTTCTATAACAAATCACCTTATTTAAGATAGAAATACACACAGAATCAATTGTAAACATTCTTAACAATAATGTGTAAGAATCTTACTTTACAGCTAAAATTCTAAAAATTGTTATCACAAAAGCCACATGTTTATGACATCATATCAACACCAATACAACAAGCTTGTGATGCTTATTTTTATCAGTTCCTGAATGTTCTACATAGGCTTGCCAACAAACTGGTGTGTGTATAGATAACACTTATAAATAGAACGGTAACCCCCAGGAAAGCAAACCACTTTGCATTAACTTTCTTCTTCCTTGCATTATATTATCACAAGACAGGCATATACTCAAATAAAATGTGTAGTGCAATCTAGAAATGATGTCAAATCAATTACTAATTTTTCATTTTTTTTTTTTTGTTATATTTGGGATAACAGAAGAATGCTCTCTCTCTCTCTCTCTCTCTCTCTCTCTCTCGATTCCATCTTTTACTGTAACAATGCATTAAGTTTTAGTGACAGTGCACATTTCTTTGTTGTGACAGAATGCCATACTGTCTGGTTGAAACTATTAACTCTATAAATCAAAGAAAATAATAGAACATATTTCCCTGGTATTTCAAAAAAATGATATGCACCTAAGAAATATCTTTATTTAACAGGAGGACTATAACATGAGCAGCCTTTACTATCAGAGCTGTGGATGAATTGACAGGATCTTAGACCCCATTCCCATACCTAGATCGATCTAGGAGGATCGACCCATCTCCAAGGGGATTTTCGCATTCAGATTAAGCAGCTTAGATGTCTGACACGCCTACTGAAGCTGCTAAATGATAGTTAATTACCCCCTAACAGCTTCAGCAGGCGTGCCAGACATCAAAGCCGCTTAAGCTGAATATAATTTAGCTAGAAACCCCTCGGAGATGGGTCGATCTTGCTAGATAGATCTAGATATGGAAATGGGGTCTTACCTTATTCTGGTCTTTCCAGAACATGATGTAGCCCTTGGGGTCCACCTTGAGGGTGACAGGGGTGCCAATAATTGAATCCTAGAGAGATAAAAACAAAAACAAATATATAAATAATTATTATCAATTCATTGGTAAGATGCAAAAATATAGCTTACTTTGATACCAAAATTCATGAGTCAATTCAATTACTCATGTATCAGCAAATAATTCTTCATTTGAGAATTGAGTTGTCTTAATATGCTGGTTATTATTAGTGACAAACAAAATAACCTGTAGCTCTTGTATTCATGAATAACAAGGTATAGTCTTTGTCTACATCAATTCTGTCACTTATCCTCAGTCAAGCAAAAACTAGGAAAGAATTAAGTATTTGAAAGTGAGCAGTGCCATGTGGACATTCCTCGAACTGTGTCTGTAAAATTACCAGTTTTTCTGTAAATATGCAAACAAAACTTTAATACCATGTTATAACATCCATAAATATGTTGCATCAACTATATTCAGTAACTGCAGTTAGCTAAATGAGCTACTCTGACGTAAAGAAGAACTATATAAAACAGTAACCTTTTTGCAAATTTTCTACAAAAAAGTACCCAAAGCCTGAAACAGATTATAAACAATTTTGGTATTTCACTAAAACCAAACTTAGTCTAGTTTTATGCATACATGCATTAGGTACATACTCTCATGAAGCATCCTGTGTCTTTTCAAATTATATTAAAGAAAATTCTATGCATCTTGTGCCTACTAGTAAAAGTAGTGGGTCAGCAATAGGTGGGTGGAATGTCTCTGACAGTAGACAAAAACACCTGTAATCTTCAAACATCCTCAGGGGACAGGTAACACTAGTCTAAGCCTCTGAAGAGTGGGTGAACATTCCACTGATATTGTAATATGTATATTGAAGTGAGGACAAAAACATTTTCACATGTTTGCTAATACCAGTGAGAAGAGTGCTTGGAATGTCCTGTTCTTTGGGATTATAGGAATCTCAGCTTGGGTAAAGTTAATATACAGCAGCTTGTATTTATGTCTTCTTCGTAACTTGCAGTTAGTTTTCCTTTTTCTTTCTCCCCTCTTTATTTATTTTTTTATTTTATTTTATTTTTTCGTGATACTATATTGGTTAGTATACCTTCTTCGGTAACTTGCAGGCAGTTTTTCTTTCTTTTCTTATTTTACAACAAACATCACACTGGCGATTGTGACCCTCAATACATTGATGTCCATAAGATTGTTTTCTGATCCACAATGTTAAAGCATATTTGTGATAACTACATGATTAAGGTCAAGGCTTTAGTGTCTTAGAACAAGTTAAGCATAGCTACCCCTCATTAATATTAATCCATGTGACACCCAACAGACCTACCCACTCAATATCATATGAGAACATGTCTGTAACCTGAATCAGATCAATATTGTCTTTATGAAGCAGTCAATTTTACCATTACCCTAACTCTCTGCCTGTATTTTTTTTTTTTTTTTTCATATCAACTGTCATAGGTCTTACCTTACTCAAGGTAAACAAGAGGACTTGGGCATGTACCTATGTAATTAGCAAAGATCTAAGATAACGGCTTCTTATTAATACACCTTGTGTGTATGACTGTGCTATGGGGTTATTAAGAAGATCAATTCATCATGCTGGGTTGCAATGGGTTTTCTAGACTACTCTGTACCTCTGGCAAATAAAAAGCCAGACAGATAAACTTCTGCTCCTCAACACGTGTTCTTCAACCAAATCAAATACAAATTGGAATAATAATAAAAGTTATTTGCAATCGAAATACTACATGTGAGTTAATTATCTCTTGACGGAAATTTAATTTTACAGTTTAACTTCAATAACAATTACTAATATGATATTCATATTAAGACTATGAGAGATGGAACATATCTTGAGATACATCAAGGGTTAATTACCAAGGATTTCAACTACATGTCATGTTTTGCCAATATCACTGCTCCCTGTTATCAGACCAGAGATCTAACCAGTGTTTTATGTGTGAAGATGTGTCATCTGTCCAGAGACAGACAGACCACTCTGCTTCATTGATTGTATTATAAGATAACAGCCAACTGGTACAAAACCTCATGAATCTGGCAATGATTAGAGACCCCAGGCAGAGCTTAGTGAATTCAGTCTATTATATACCAGGACAATAGTAAAGGTGATATATATAAAGAATTTTGGGAGGAGTGGTATGGGTTTAAGCTTTTGATAGGTTTACTGATCGAAGCATCCTCACAAGAGCATCACAATGAACTTTTGATCATCTTTACACCATAGAACACATTAATGTTAAGATTTCCTTTCCATAATCATCATTAATGGCCTGATACAGATGTAATTTGGGTTAATTGCATCATTACAGGTGTTATATGTTGACCACCTATCCCTGCATTAGTGTTTCCTGCTAAATATGACTGAACTAACTGGAACATTTTCTTAGTATCAGAGAATTAACTGTTAACAAATATCCTACATGTCTTTTAAATGCCCCAGGTTCAAGGAGTGATGCAAGAAATATTTGTCAGTTTATTTTTACAGAATTTATAATTATAACTTTTTGATCCCCAGGAACCATTAATAATAAATTTTTCAATTTCTTTAAACCTTGCTTTTTTGTCACAATATGAATAACAGACTCTAAATCTTGGCACATTACATTTGACATGTTTTTGAATTAGCATCCATTTTTTTTTTCAGATGTGATATTATTGTAATTAACATAATAAATGACAGGCATATACAAATTATGAACAACAAATCTGTTTAAGCTTGATATAAACTGGTGAAAATATAAAACTTTCACAGCAGAACAATTTAAGATGAAGCTGAAGAAGTCCCACAAGGCACTTACATGAACGACATCAGCATCAGTAAGTTCATATCAACCAGTATATCTGATATACAGAAAACTGTATAACTTATATCCATTGGGCCCAGAAAATTTGTTAAGTACACAAAAATGCAAGTTAGGCAATATTCTTATTATAAATTCTAGCTAATACCAAAGAAAAAAATCTGTTTCAATGGATCTGTATTAGAGAGAATGATAATTGAACTTATAAGTTGAAGAGCTTCCTGGAGTCTACTAAACTGGATGAGCAAGTTTTAAACCTTCCCTACACAAAACATATTATATACTTCAATGACAAATATAAATAAACATTATCAAACGCAGGCTGGGTCGACGTGTGTTAGTTAATAGACCTCTAAGTATGACAAGTATCTACTAGTATATATACTCATGTACCAGTGACTAAGATTAATGTATCCTGTTTTACTGAGGGTATTGTAATTTGTAAATAAAGCTACCGATCCGTTTATTTACTAGTATGTGTTATCGTGTGTCGGGGTCGGTTTACAGGCGCCCCTTTTCATTACTAACACCCACGTACTAGCAAAAATATATCTCCGTTAAGAGCTTTCTTCAACCCAGTATACCTGTCCGACAAAATACATTTCACTCATCACGCAATTGAAAACTACTGTGAACGTTGCACAAAGCCTCGGGCTTAAGGCTGAATACCACAGCGAGTACATAAGGAAAGTCGAAAAAAACACCGACATCAAACGGAAACTAAAGAATCTGCATTCAAATCAATGAGATCTACAGTCACAAAACATAATCTTAACTTACATCGTCCCACTTGATGAATTTGTTGCCCTTGATAAGATTATCCGAAACGACAATCGGCTTCAGCTGGCTCACATGGACACCTGATTTTGCCCCCGCCATTTACTTGTCTTTCCCATTACTGAAGGTAAATATATTGCTGAGGGGGTGACAGCCTTCCACCGTCTTGCGAACAGTTTAATCCTTCTCAGATGTACATACACCGACTGACTCAGCAACTTTCTCCTCAACCTCGACTCGTGGACATCGACACTGCTATATAAACTGCAGAAACGCTTATTAAAATTGACCGCACTGTTGTTCAGATGCTCTGAGCGTGACAGCTCCACGCCCCCATTCTGGCACAGTCTAATTAATGGCAGGTGACTGATCATGTGACACGTTCAAGATGGTGGATAACTTACGTAGTTGTTAGTCTTAGATACCGCCCTATATAAGTAAAGATACTAGTGCATAGGCAAGAGTTTACAGGGGTTATCGGACAGCTGATCCTGCTACGTGGCTACATAGTGAGGTAGCGCTGGCCTCTAACCATATTTCATAAGTAAGACTTTTTTTAAAAAAATTAATAGCTACATCTTGGAAACTAAGATTAGTTAAACTGTAAGGCAGTCTGTTTTTTCTCACCTCACATTTTTTTTCTTTATTAATTTTTTTATATTTCATTTATTCTTTTTACGTAATATATAATGAATGCGCTTAAATTATGTAAATATAGAAAAAGTGCTTGAGACAACTTGGCCAAAGGTAGTAAGATAAAAAGTGCAATATGTAGATCGATTCGATTAATAGTTCATAAATGCGACCCACCTGATTATGGAGAAATTGAATCGATATGTGGCGTAAACGTTTAACACGATTTGAGTTATAGCACGACGGATCATACCGCGTACTAGTTACCCTCCACCAGGGCGGCAGATATTATAGGCACATTTTCCACCAGCCAGAAGAAGATTGACCGTATTTAGCCAGAGACATTATCTGTGAATATCTGGTGAAAAATCAATCTGTGGCCGTGGTAGAGGGTATGTAGGCCTACTAGTAGGCTTATAAGTAAGTTTTACGTGAGTTGATGTACTATATTTTAAACCCAAATATAATGTTTGCACCACTTCAGCGCTATATCTGAATTTCAGTTTCTAGACGATGTCAAATGTAGTACAAAATAAAGATATATAAATATGATTTGGTTACGAGGAGAAGAAAACTAAAACTGTAATGTAACAAATCTAAAATTTTATTTCACAAGACTTTGACGGTAAAATGGCATTGATAAATATGTAAACTGGATTTCACGTTTGACTTGTGAAGCAATGTGACAAAAACACATGTAAAGCTTGAGATTATCTATCACTAAAAAAGGGGAATGAATTTAAGAATTCGAAATCTTATCTTTAGAGAACGTGCACTTACACTCTGCAAGTATTTAGCCTTTAATTTCAAAGCATAAGGCCAATATTGATTTAAAAACTGTATTTTCATCACATATATAGAGTATGGTAGTTGAGTCTACTTGATTTAGCTAACCCATTCGTCTTGTGGAAAAAAAAACTTTTACCATAACCGACATGTACACCTGTATAAAGAGGTTGGTTTTGTACAGTCTGGAGTACGAATTCTGGCTTTGCCCAAAAAACACAATGTAGATGGCGAGAGAGTTTGAAAACGGGTCATTTTTCTGTTTTCTCTGCGCTACGCTAAAGTCGAAAAGATTGAGGGTGCAAATCTGAATAGTCAGATCGCGTTTCGGGTACAGAAATCTGAAAATGGGTGGCCTATTCCGAGACCAAGTATAATGCGAAATTTCTTAAATTGAGAAGTTAGGGGCAATGTAGATACAATAACGTGTATATTCTGCAGGATTATAACTACAATGGGTGACACTGCTGCCCAGGTCACGACTCTGTTCAGCTTATACAGGGATTACGGAGAATGCGACTACCTGGGTGAGAGCGTGACCCAGGTACAGCATGCCATACAGTGTGCAATGCAAGCGGAAAACGAAGGGTTTCCACATAAGGTAATTTATAACCAGTTACTATGTCGAGTTATAGTTCTTCTTATAATTCTTCTCCTATATTTTACGAAGAAATCTTAAATCCTTCGCTTATTGCATAATTTGCCATGTAAAATGGTGATCACGTGGTTATTTTTCAGATGTGTTAGTATACAAAGTATTGGCAAACTGCACTTCCGAAAATGACAAAATAAAAAGGATAATTGTGGTATAGATGTGCAGTTGTTTCCAGCTGGTGATTGCATCAGCACAGATTCAATCCTTATCGAAGGCGCGCTTACTGCAATCTGTTCTTTCTCAAAAATTCTTCAGCGACCTTCTTATCAATAAAATAAGATTTACTTTCAGAGAATTTAAAAAGCTCATGCAAAAGTATCTTTCTCACATACGTTCAGGAAAAAACTAGTAGTCATTTATCATGAAAACGTCTGAAAGACCAGTGATGACCGGGAACCTTTCAATATTTCAACAAATTATGCCTTGTTTTTCTCTCTTTTTACGTAAGATTTTTCTTTTAATTTGTATCTTTTGCCAATGCAGGTGATTCTAGGAGCCCTCTTACACGATGTTGGTCATCTTGTCGGCTTGGTACAAAAAAGAGAAAGAATGGAGACCGAAGGGATCACACTTGGTGTCAAGAACCATGAACGCGTTGGAGAAAAATATCTGAAGAGCCTTCGTTTCCCAGAAGAAATAACCACCTTTGTCAGAGGTCACGTAAATGGGAAAAGATATCTAGTGTATAAGGATCCCGGCTATCACGATAGTACGTTTTTCCCAATAAAAATTCGCTCTCTAAATTCGCATTTTACCGTATTACGGTATTTTTCCATCTGTAACAGCTTTTTTCCTTTAGTAGAATGCTTTTACAGATCATTTGCAATTTTTAAAGACAAAGAAAAAAACTTATCAAAACTCTGAAGAATTTTATCGGTAAAAAATATCAAAAATAAAGAAATGTGTGATCATTTCCAAACCAACTCCTTTGATTGTGCAAATCGCATTTTATAATTTCAGCTCGGTAGAATGCATACATCGTGTGATATTGATCCTTATTCTCTTTCTCTCATCTCTCTCACACACACACACACACACACACACGCGCGCGCGCGCGCGCGCGCACACAATTAAATTGTAATTAGCTTTGATGTTCTCAGTTTAATTAAGTTTACTTTCAGAACTGTCGCCAGCCAGCAAGATGACACTGGTTCATCAAGGAGGGCCCATGACTGCAGAGCAGGCAAAAGAGTTCGAAAAACACCCGCAATTTGAAGCACTTGTACGAATGCGAACGTGGGACGATCTGGCAAAAGACCCTAACATGAGGATGGAGCCACTGGTGAAATATGAGGAGATGTGTCGAAACTATTTGAAACAATAGACCAGTTTCTATGCATCCGGTTTTTTTTAATAGAAACTAGGAAAATTCTGGAAAAAATAGCTTTGTACTATAGTAATGAAATAAGGTAAAACTTCGACTGCACCGGTGTAACGAAACTAAGGGTCCGTGTAACAGAAAGCCCGCCCTCCATTTAGTTATAATGGTTAGGGTTAGCCTGACCTAAGTGGGTCAAAATCTAGGGCGAGGCTTACCTGTGCAAATGAATGGGAAGTTGACTCTCTATCATGGGGGGCTCTCTGTCACATTACACCGGGTTTAAATCAGTAATGGATGTACTTACAAAGCTCAACTCAGCATGTGCACAGTGCACAACTATACACTGTTAATGTTGGCTACTCAGCGTTTTAAACGTTCCCCCTCTTTTAGTCTAATTTTATTATAAATCTGTCCAAAACATAGAATAATTGAAGCTCTGAAACAACTTCCAATCTGACTACTTTAGGACAAACGCAGAGAATATCTTAGCAAAGATTTGGATTGTGAAAGACTCCGACAAATTAAGTCACATTTTTTATTATTTCTTCTTTATAGTTAAGTAGGCTTTTAAGATCACACAAAATTTATACCGTGCCAAAAATTTAAACGGGGGGCTTCCGTTGCCCTTTTATCCCTTGCGCACTTTTCAAAAACTGAATCCTTATCTTTATGTAAGAGCTGTTGTTTTATTTGTAACGTAAAAGTTTTTTCAATTTCACTTAATAAATTTAATCAAATGTATAACTTTTATCTACGGATTGCAATTTTATATATTAACGGTTATTATAACTATTAGCAAAAATAATCCCTTACTGGTAAGTTGCTGGTAAAACGATACAAACTAAAATTTAAGTCTAAAAATTATTAAGTAACCGTTCTTGTATGTCCAAATTTGGGAAAGATATTTAAGTATGAAATAAATGAAAACAAAGGCGACTAAGACATTGTTTTAAATAAGTTGAGTATTTATTTTTTTGGGGACAACACTTATAACTAGGTCACACATAACTACATAGCGAATAAGGCAGACTTACGCACCTATATATCTATGCTTGATGATAGAAATTTACAAAATGAGTGATATGTGTAATTAACTAACTAAATAGGCGGTACACACACACTGAACATTGGAACTGATGACCGTTTGTTTCTCAGTTTTTGTTTGTGTTGGAGTGTCTGTTATATATTCTAATAAACCGGTAGAAGTACTTCTTGTTTGCCAGGCTATCACACAGTATATATATGTCTACATCAAGCACACTCCAGTGCGACATTTGTAACTACTATATGTGTTGTAAAATGAGTAACCATATGTGTTGTACAAAGTAGCAAGTTTGAAATGTTCCATAATATTTCGAGAAACATACAAACGTTGTTAAAACACTTGCTGCAATGCACAGTGCGAAAACCGTCGTATATGATAATGAAAAAGGGTAGCAATACTTTGACATGGTACTGTATATATTGTTTTAAGAGGCAAACCGCCCCGTTTTAAGCGAGCTTCAGTTAAATGCCTAGATCACACACAAAGAATCATTTTTCAATGTGACACTGACATGCAGATTATGTAATACAAGTACGGAATTTTTCTAAATTTCAAAATTACATACACTACACATTTTATCCATATGAATGTTCCTTTCGCTGTTGTTTGCTAAATATTGTATAAAAAAAGCAAGACATCTAGCTACTACTCTTAAAACGACTTGTTACATGTAAGATTGAATGAACATGGCGCTTATTAGACTTACACTGTTAAGTAGGTAAAACTGCTACTGTTTTAGAAGCAAATTTTCTAATAGTGGCCTGTCTGTGTTTCTCGTCCAACATCTACATGCTCTAATGCAAACACAATTTACGGGAAGAGATTTTCATCAAAGTTCTGTCTCTACGAAAAATATACGTTATAAATCATACTAACATGCTAAACCCAACGATATACTGCTATAATCAGAGCACCACGCCCAAAAAGCTTTCTAAAGTTTTTGACGTCACTTGGCAATTATCAGCTTTCCTTGTTTATTTTCAAATTACGATCCTCTTAGAGAGGGAAAAACAACTGTTATTGAGCGATAGAAATAGCGCTTTGCAGAGACCAGCGTTAAAACAAACAAAAAGCATTATGCGCCGGAGAAGATTATGCACAATATTTGAAAAAACATATACACGTATCGCTGCATTGCATAAAGTGAACACAAATATACTTTAACAGCAAGTAATCTGGTTTTCACTTAAATCACCTTCTGTCACGACGCCTTTGACCACGGTCATCAATATCCTGAGATTAGTATCTCCGCATTAGAGGGCAATTCTGTTACGGAATAAAAGGTTTCCAGTAACTTTCGTTTACCCTGCTAAACCAGCCCAAGCGACTGACTGATCATTACTTTCTCCTACTCTGACCAAGTTTGTCTTTGCCACAAGTTGCCCGGGCTCTTCGCGAGCACCTTAGTGACGGCGTATCGACGCCGTAAAACGCTAGTTTTACGAAACCGTTACTTGGCATATCACGCCACAACGTCGCTGTCTGGGTAGAGCTCCACAGTTTTACCATCTTGGTTATACGCAGGGGGCGCCGACTGTTCAGATTCGCTAGTTGTTTGTGGGTCATCTTGATCTTTCATTTTACTATCATACTCTTCCATCTTTTCTTTGGTAAAGCTACTGCTAGCGTCCATGACAACCGCAGAGCACGATCTCCTTAAAAGGTAGTTTCTCCATGCTTTTTGGATGATCTTAGCGCACCAGACGTGTCGTTGTCTTTCAAGCAAAGAACTTACCGGGTGGTAATCACCCTTTCTTTCAGGTTCTGGAAGATCCCCTTCATCTTGAGTTCCTAGATAATTACGAGTCAAATCATCCAAAATATCGACACAGTGTAACCTGTCATTGTCGCAAATAGTGATATCCAAGTGAACCAGCTGAAAGTAATTTGGCTTCGGAATACAAAGGGGTTCTTCGAGCTCGTCCACAAAATCACAAAGCTGATCAAGTCGGATAAAATTGGTTGCTTCAGGGTCATACTTCTCCCAGGTTTCGTAAAAAAGGTCGATGTCGTCTTGCGTTAGCCCGGTCTGTACGTCTTCTGTGGCCTGACTGAAGTTTTCCAAGATTACTGCTATATACATGTTGACGATGACCAGGAAACTTATAAGTAGGTAAGTTACAAGGTAAGCGACCGCCAGGCCTGGATTCCCACAGTCTCCCGGTTCTTGAGAATCTGGCGGGGCTTCTGTGCAGTCAGGCGGTTGTATGGAGAGCCCCGCCAATACGCTTTCCCAACCCGCGGAAGTGCACATTTGAAACAGTAATATAATGGCCCTTCCAAAGGTCCGGAAATTGAACTGATCATCGATGCCGTTATTAAACTTAACGTTCATAAAGAATGACATCCCGAACGTTCCCCAGATAAACATCACCAAGAAAAGCAGAAGACCAATGTTGAAAAGGGCTGGCAAGGACACGGCAAGGGAAAACAGCAAAGTACGGATCCCTTTTGCTGACTTTACAAGGCGAAGCACTCTCCCCACTCGGAAAACACGTATTACACGAAGTAACGTCGGTGACACCAAATATTGTTCAATTATACCTCCCAAACCAACGGCTAAAAGACAAAGAAAAAAGTTTTACTCAGTTTGCCATATATATATTCATGTGGCTTAATGTGCATGTATCGTGTTATATTATGATTGGTTTTTTCACGTGACGGAAGATTAAAATCTGTGCTTTGACTTTGAAAAAAAAAGAAGCTTAATCTTCCCGGTGTGATTCAGATAACAAGTCATTCACTAACAGTTCATTAGTTTAACATAAAATTATTAAATAAATTAGTGGTCATAATAATCAATAAATGCAATTGCTTTAAAATGTGTTTGTACCGAAAATGATATATTTTTCCCGTTTCTGATTGACGACGATAAGAACTATTTTTCAGTTGGATGCACAGTGTTGTCGTAAAACACATCTTTTGTCACCCGAGTACTTACCGACAAGGGAGAATACGACAATAACGAAATCAAACACATTCCACGGTTCCTTGAAATAGTATTGTCTCAAGCAAAACAGTTTCAAAACACACTCCACAGTAAAGATTCCAATAAATATAAAGTTTATCACATTTAAAACTTCAGTAAACTTGTCTGATTGGCCGTAGTGCTCCAACGCCATGGTCAGCATATTAAGCATGATGCACACCATGATCACAATGTCAAATTTCTGATTCACGCAAAGATGGAAAATCCACAGCTGTACTTTTAACTGGAAATTAAGTAAGGTAACCATATAATAAAAAAGTTGTCAGGTTTTTATACAGTCACTTTTAACTTAGATACAACTGTAGTTAGAACAATGGGCAAAAGTCTGGGATGTGAACTGTTATTGAAAAAAGTGTGTACTTGGAATTAACCTCGTCCCAATAAACATTGAAATAATAAGACTTATGAGAATCAAGTACTTGTATTACTTTACATGTATCGTGGCGTAAGACGCTTTGTGAAAAATATCTGAGGGGGATACCCTGGCAAATAATTATAAAGTGTATATTGTATGTGTAAAGTCACAACCAGTTCTTTAATACCCGGAAGGGACTTGACACTATGGCGGTATGCTGCAAGAACTGATATGATTTACCTTTGGTTTAGGTATAGGTTTCTTTGGTTCTTTCCCTCCTAATTTTTTCATTGCATTGTAGTATCTTTTCTGATCTTCAGTCATAAACATTTCTAGAGATCCTCCTGCGTAAAGAAAGGAGTGGGATCATAGAGCAAAGGTGTATTATAAGAACATAATAGTCTACATTAATCATGACCTAAAACAAAATATAGCTATATAATATAATAAGGCACATGGAATCCGCTATAAACTAAATATAAATAATCAAAGGAATATACGAATCGGAGTTTTTAGTTACAATCGTTCCTATATTAATTGAGTAATTATATGTGCTGTCTTCGTAGAACTGAGTAAAATCTATAATTTATCATTCTGCGTGAAAAAATTGATGGGCATTCATGAGGATGATGATCGTTAAAGGTAAAACGAAATCATGTAATAAAAGTGGTGAGGCTTTAAGTTAAGTCCCTGAGAGGTCATAATTTACATAAATTCCAAATGCACTCGCCAAACACACCATTGTCACACTATAGAACTTCAACATATTTTAGAATGCGGTGATAATTTCAAAGTCGATAAACCAACGTGTGGTAATTTGGCCTAAAGATGTTTCAAGCATAAATTGTGGAACAACACAGTTAGTGGCAGAACATATCGCATGTTTCCAAGAAATTTAAATTACGTTAGGTTAATTTATTTAACTCGCACAATTCATTTTTTCGCATGGCTCATGGTCGCATAGACCAAGGAAGTACATGTCCTTCCATGATTAGACAAAACCAAACGTGCTGTAACCTACACTTTTGCAATGTGTTCAAACGAAAAAACAAAGATACGAAAGGCAACACACTAGTGTAAGGAATAGGCATTAGCATCTACGCATTTCAAGCCAAAGGCGGCGATTTATTAGCGTTTTTCACTGCACTTCATATTATGTGCGCCTCAGTAAGTGTTTTCGATTTTGTATACCTAATGTGGTTTTGAGTTTTTTTTTTTTTTTTTTTTTTTGACATGGTACATATATGTCATGTTATACATGTACTTATCATATTCATATAAAAAACGGTTTTATTTCGTCACTTATAAATCGCCGACTTTCCACTATGGCCTATGTAAAGTTGACGAAAAAAATGGTTAACTAAAGATGACGAGCACAGTTTAAGAGATCAAGTGTAGGTCACATGTGCAGAGAGAGAAAAAAAGACAGAAGCACTAGATATTGTTTGAACTAGATTAGGTAAGACTATATCAGGATTTCAATAAGCTTTACCGCGAAGCTCTTGCATGCAGATGGAGACAGCTCATCAACTATCCGAAATACGCATGCGCATGCTGGACATAGATGACTTCTGAAATAATTAGTCACGCTGAGATTTAAAAGAAATTCACATACAAGTTTATGTAAAACAACGGAAGCCGGCCTGCAGCCCCCCCCCCCCC